GGCTGCAGGAGCTCCGCCAGCTGATCCCCAACATCCCCTTCCAGATGCTCCTCCGGGGGGCCAACGCCGTCGGCTACACCAACTACCCGGACAACTCCGTCTTCAAGTAAGCCGCCAGCGCCCAGGAAATGGGGGGGGGGAGAGAGTGCTTGTGGACGTTGGTCTGTCTGTCCAGGGTGTCTCCCCTGTGGCAACCCCACGGGCTGCACATGGGCCCGTCCCCTGAGGGCCCCATCTCAGAAAACCAGGGGTGGGGTGGGGTGGGGATGAAGTGGGTGTCCTTCTTGGCACTCTGGAAGGCGTGTTTTTGCCATGAAGGGACGTCCAGGGCCTCCCCAAAAGGGGGCGGGGGTCCTGCCCTCATCTTAGGGAGCAAATGAAGCCACCAAAGCAACCACTATCTTCGAGGTCTCTTTCCTCCCTTCAGCCTCTGTCAGACATTTTTCAGCCTGGAAAACCACCCCGTGCTCGTGCCGGCGACCAGGAGGGGCCTCCGTTTATTGCCCTCCCGGTCTCTCGGGCGGGCGCTTCTCTCCGACCCAGCCCTCCGAGAAGCCCCTCGCCTTTCAGGTCCCTCGCCCCCCCCAGCCCGCCTGCCCACCCTGCGCCTTCCCCTCCCTCGCCAGGTTCTGCGAGGCGGCCAAGGAGAACGGGATGGACATATTCCGGGTTTTCGACTCCCTCAACTACCTGCCCAACATGCTGCTGGGGATGGAGGCCGCGGGCCAAGCAGGAGGAGTGGTGGAGGCCGCCATTTCCTACACGGGGGACGTGGCCGACCCCAAACGGACCAAGTACACGCTGGACTACTACGTCAAGCTGGCAGAGGAGCTGGTCAAAGCCGGCACCCACATCTTGGCCATCAAGGTAAATTGGGGGGGGGAGGGGGGCTTGGATCCCTTCCCAGGGGGAGCACGGTCTGCCTGGGTATCTGGTGCGCGTGTGCATCTTAAGCGAACCCTCAGCCACCATTGAATGCCGGCTCATTCATGTGCCCGGGTGTAAGGGCAGAAAAGTGGCCCCGGGTCCTTTCCACACAGAATGGATGAAGTGACAAGTGGGCCTTTTCTCCACCGCTGCCCATCGTCCTGTTGGGGAACCAGGAAGCATCGTGGGGGGGGCAGAGGAGGAGGAAGAGAGGGAGGAAGGCAAGGAGTCCGGGCAGCCTGTGGGGAGCAAGGGTTTGGAGTCCTGAAACAGGGCCCTGAAGGAGACCTGGTTTCAAATCCAGCTCAGCTAAACGTCCCCAGGCAGCCTTTGGACCGTCGGGCGCTTGCTCACTCACCCGACCTGCCCTATCTCACAAGGGGTGGGGGGTTGCGAGGATAGCAGGGAGAGGAGGGAAGCCTTGTAGGCCACCCACGAGAAGAAGAAAGGTGGGAATTAAAAGCAGCAAAGAATAAGTCAGGACTCCATGAACCCAGGTGCGCACGGCGTCCTGCTGAGCCCTGGGGTCTGGGGAGGAGCGGCTCTGGCGTCACCGAGCACTCCCCACCCTTTCCGTCCAGCGCTTCCGTGTCTCCCTGCTTTGGCTTCTTCTGCTGCTGCACCCATCCTGTTTCTCTACGGTT